ATAGATAGCTGTAAGAACAGAGGGGCACAGTGAAGCGCAAAGGAGACTCAATACAAACTGCAAGGTGAGATGGTGCTACAGCCTTCAAGAGAATATTATAGAGAGGACTTTCTGCATTGCCTATGTGGGAGAGAAGACACATGTCAGAGTGAAAAAATGTTTTTAGATGTGTGAGAAGAAACACAAAATCTCATCACTGTAAACATTGTAGATGTGAAAGTTGTTTGCTAATGCAAGATAAAGATAAATATGTATTTGATCTCTATCTGCTCACGAGTCCTCAGAACCAGGTTCAGCGTTTCTAATTGGCTTTTACCTTTGAGATGAGGAAACAAACTCAAGGTGTTGCACCTGAGTTGACTCCCACCAAGTCAGAAGGGAAGTGCGACACAGACTGTATCCACAACATAATTAACACATTCAGGCCATCAAATATCAGGGTATTTATTGCATAGTCAAAGTTAAGAGCTTAAAATTTATGCTACACTTTTTTAAGAGCCAGAAGGTTATTTGCTTAGTTCATGAATCCAAGTCTCAACCTTCATATTGGAACTTAATGTATGTCCTCTCATTTACATTTTCGCAAAACAATTTTCTGTACAAAGAAAACATTGACATTTATTAAGTTATTACAACCAGAAAAACAGTCTCACCGGTTCTGTGAGACCTCACAGGCTGAAAAAAACAAGAATTTTATGTTGGTCTCAGGCACATAATTCTAACTACAATTAGCATCTCACTAATTAAGATGGTCACAGTTTGCTCTCCCTCCCTCTTCTACAGCTACATCTGCTCTGTGGCACCAAGCATGTCAGGTGGGATCTTTGGTATTTGAACAAAAACAGGAGGCATAAGTGTGTGTATGTAAGCTTTAGAGTAACCAGGGTAGCTGGTGAGGGTATGAATAATGCCTTTAGGCGAAGAGCACAAGGGTAGAAGGGTTCCTGACTCCCACCGCGGCCTGTTTAGACACTGGCCTCTCTGACTCATCTACATGTCACTTATGCTTTTCCTATGCATGAACAAACAGATACAGATACACTGCAGAGAGATAGCAACACTATCACCACAGGGGGAATTATATGTGTGAATAGCCTGTGAGACTAGCATGAGCCATCCTTAGTCATACTTCGCCTGTCTAAGCAGTGAGAGTTGCCATGAAGTTACAAGAAACTGATCCCCCCCAAAAAATATGAAATAAATCAAAAAATATACGGCTCGAAACATGCTGTGTGGTACCAGTAAATGAGCAGTGATGTATCCATGCACCTGTTGTCTGGCTCTTCCCTCTCATCTTATCCAGGCTCTCCTCATTTGGGCTGCTCTCCTGCAGCTGCAGGTGTGGGTATGAACACCTTGTTAGGGGGTTGACAGTTCTGGCAGAGGAGGAGACAGGGTAGTAGCTTGTTATGAAGAACAGGCTTATGTGTCAACCAGGAAGAGGAAACAGATCAAATTCAAACAAGAGATCTTTAAACCTAACAACTTAATAAGAAGTTATTCATCTGAGTATAGAATAAATTAGTAAAACAAGCTACATTTATTAACTTCAATATTTTAATGGACCAAATGTAAAGCTAATTGAATTCAGCCACTCTGCTAATACCCAGTCTACAGTCTACAGTATGGTACACTGAATATTAAAATGACTATCATGACCTGCCCCTATATAATCCCAATTTCCTGCTCATCCAGCTCCATCATGTCTGTGCTGTAATTACACTTCATTGGACATCACAGGGAAATGTTAACAGATTCAGCAAATCTGTGATCAGTATTATAGACTAAGTGATTGAGGGTGTCTGTAGAGCTGATTACCACAGCACTGTGTGACACTATTAAAGGCCAAGAGCACTGACCAGGCAATATTGCTAATTCATGACTTTCAAACATCTCTTTGCAAAATATAGCTGAAGTCTGGCAAAACTTAAACATGAATTTCTTAAGCTATAATGAAACACACTGCTATGTAAATTACAGATCATTGAAAAACAAAAATGTGTCAATTAGATGACATGAAATGTAAATTTCCTAAAACAAAAACAGGCATTGCATCAGGTATTAGTCTATAATCTCATTGAGCAGTAATTTCAAAATCAACACACACTGCTGGTGTGTTCAATAACACAAATCTGTTCTAATCCATAGTTTCAAAAATGATTGACTTGGAAGGAAAATAAAAAACTAAGGCCCAAAGATTTGGAATTAGGTGGAGATGTGTGTCTGTTGTTGTAAGGCAAAGTGGGTGAATCTGAGATCATTGAGAGCTCTTATATTCTCTCTTCATCAGCTGTAATGATCAGAGATGTGAGGATTAAGTACCAATGTTCCAGTGAAAGAGCTTTGTACTGCCAAATGTAGGACCACCAGCTCTCACAAGCTGCCTAATTTCATTTCAGACGGACAGACAATCTGAAGGTTACAGTGCATGCAGATATGGATTAAAGGCACAGGGGTGGTGTGGAGTGCCTTTTTGTGGCCAACAGTGGAACTGCGGGAAGAATCTGAATGGACACGTGAAAAATACTGAATCAACAGATCAAACATAGACACATTATTAAAACATTAGTGACAAAAAGTTCCACCTCGTAAATAAAAGTCATACAGGGTTTTTTTTTGTGACAATGTTCACATGTCACTGAAAATCCATATGGATAAGCTATGGTCAACAACAACCCCTTGTTTCATGAAAACTGATTATACTCACCAAGCAAAGCTGTAATTAAAAAAAAAGGATGTAACAAATTCAAAATTCTTTCGATGTATTCCATCAACATTTTTGGATGCAGATATTAAATTGGTTATATTACATTTATGATAAATTATCAGCTTTGTATGTCTACAATATCACAGGCTTCTGATATATTAGACTATTTGATAAAAACTGTAATGCAAGTGAAATAAGACACACCAACCACTGTATTCTCTGTGTTTTGTGGTTAGGGCGATCAAGTAAATGATGCATTCTTGCTTCCTCTTGCTTTTTACTTGGAGGCCAAAGAAGTATCTCAAAGTCACAAGAAGAAAAAGGAATTGTTCTTAAATGGGTCATTCACAAGACCCAGTGCATGACAAGAAATACACCGGAAAGAAGATTTTTTTTGTGGTCACAGTCTTTCCCCACATTATTCAAGTTATTGTAACTATAGTGATTAACTTCAATGAGAAAGTGAGACAGAGAGAGAGGGAGATGGGATGAACATGTGACACTGTAACTGCGGAATTCAGAGCAAGACACTGGTAGTCTCTGTGTGAAACAGGCAGCATGGAGAAGGCCTGTGACATTGATCCCGTCTTACCACTGGGATCTGCTTCCTCTCTCTGTGCCCTGTCTAAGCAGAAAATGTGACTATCATGGCTGGAATATGAAACAAACAAAGAATTTCTGACTTTCTAACATATCAAATAAATGTTGTGTCTTTGACATCGCCCATATTATTTTATTATATCATATTATTATTATTACTCCTAACCAAAGCAAGAGCTGGAATTATTAAGCCTATTGTGCAGAACAATCGCGTACCAGCAGTTTAGGCTTGAGCAAAGAACAAACTACAGAGGCATGTGATTGCTGTGTGCATTAGGCTGATTTGTAATATTAGTAACTCATGCCAAGTAACTCATTTATTTGACTGTATTGCAAAGTCCAAACACTGCTGTGTTTGGCTTGGTAAAAAAAAAAACCTATATCAGTTCCTAACATCATTAGGAGCTTGAGTACTGTCATCGAGTTTGCAGTAGTATTTTGAGACTTGAATAGTCTTTTAACGGTACTTGATGGCATTAAGTAAAATGCAACTGAATGGGCATATATTTTAATTATCAGTGTGGCGAATGTTTGAAATATCAATATGGTTTATACCTTGTATCCGAAAACATTGGATATACTTTAGGATCCTCACAAAAATGGTCAAAAACAAAAAAAACAATGCAACAATTGTAAATGGCACAAATACACAGCCTATTGTGCCACACATCTAAGAAAACTTTTCCAAATGACCCCAGTCCTGTAGAATTAAAGTTGTCTGGGAAATATACCAAAGTGTTATTGAGAATCATATTTTAAAGGGTGCAACTTATAAATTGTCTTCAACACTTAACATTATAAGGAGGCTAGGCCTACAAAACACACTCAGAAAACATCCTTGCCTATAGCCTGTAGTCTACAATGCTTACTATGAGAATCTTTGAAAACTATGATGTAGGCCTGGCCAAAACACAAGGGGATTTCCTTTTCTGTGACTGAACAGAATTGCAATACTAGACTACCATAACAAGGCAACCAAAGGCTATGGCCAAAGTATAAAAAATTGAATTTTCATTGTAGATGCACACAAATTAAGCGAATCAAAAACTGTGAAAAAGTGTTGATTTTTTTTGTCACACTGTTAAAAGGACAGACCACCACCGAACTATTGCTGGTCTGGCGTGTTCACATCAATTATTGTAGTGGTGGGGGTTGTTAAAATTCATGGCTGGTTTAATTCTGTTCATCCAGGATGTTTTTGACAGAAACGTCAAGTCGCAAAAAGTAACACCACTATTAAGAGTAACACCACACTGCGTTACCTTAGAAATAAGAGGGAGTAAAATAAAAAGAAAAAAAAGCATAGTATGGACACACACACACACACACACACACATAAAACCTACAACATATATATTATTAAAATTATTATTTAATACAGTTGTGTCGTTTTACTTCGAGAAATTAAAAAAATGTCACCTTCCACTTAACATGAAACAAGCACTACAAAAGGAAGTGTTCAAGTAGGCTAGTGGTAACACTAGGCAAAGTTATTTGCTTACCTTATTTGATTTGAAGTGTGTTTCTGAAATGTCCTATGTCCCATTTTTTCTAACATATACTATTTTCTTAAATAATTGTGTTTCTTGAACATGTTCCAGGCGTATGGGTCCATACAAAAATCATATAGCCTACATTTACTTTGAAAGTTTACACAACCGGAAGCCACGCCGTTCGTTTCGACCGGCTTGATTCATTGTAGGAGTGGATGAAGGAACAACTCTGGAAAGTTCAGCGACTGTAGGCAAAGAGTTGAAGTCAGTGGCAGCAGGCTTTCTGTGAGAACATGTCAGCGTGTTTGTCTTTATTTGACGGTCAAGAGTCTTTGCTTCCATGATGAAGACCTCCGCGCTGTTGGTGATTTTATGATGGCTAAACTCAAAACTTAACTTAGGAAACTTTGAGCCTGGAGCTGCGACTTTCGCCACTTTCCCTGTCATTGCTATAGAAACAACATGGCAAACAGTAATTCTCTCGTGATAAGGGCATTTGCTTTAAGTTTATTTTTTGTAGTATCCAAGTGTTTGTTGTCTATACCGCTCAAAATCTACACAGGGAAGTATAACTTATCCTCGGCTGTGGATTTGACTCCTCTGCGACAAGTCCTCTTAATGTCTGATGGAAACGGCCTCTCTTTGGCCTCAGATCCAACCGGGACCGTGAACTTTCTGGACATGGTCAATAACCTGCAAGGAGACTCTGGAAGAGGCTACTACATAGAGATGTCCCTTGGTACTCCTAGTCAAAAGGTACTTTAAAGTGAAACACATTTGTTTGATAGGATATCTGCATCATACTGTACTGGTGAGGTTAAAAACAACTTTAATTCTTTTAACAAAATGTATTTTACTTTCCTTTTGAGTCATAGTATCCATAGAGTGTGATGGGGGGGGGAACCACCATGTGACCCAGAGAAGTAGGCAGAGTGTGAGAGTGGACTGGGTGTGTTTGTTTCACCCAAAGGCTTATATCTAACTGTCCATGCAATGTCTTTTATTGTGATGAATTAACAAGTCTTTTAAATTACCCAGCAGAAGAAAAAAAAAAAAAGACTGGGGTCATGGGAAGAACAGCCTCGATTATTTTTCTCTCTCAGTCATTGTTATAGAAAAATCAGCTGTTTATTTCCAGGCCTGTGGCAGGACAGTTTATTAGCTGTAGGGAGCAGCAGCTGGCTCAAGTCTTTTGGGCCCTGGGGTTCTGTAGACTACGACCCCGCTCACATGCACTCACATGATGCTGCCTGGGGGGGGGGAACTACTGTTGCTTACCAGGCAGCTGATGAGGATTATGAGGCTCCTGGGGAGCAAAGAGCAGCCCTGAAACTGTAAAAAAAAAAAAAGAAAGTTTCAGGGAAATTTTCTACCTTTTTTTGATTGGATGGAATATGGTTAACATGTTTCACTGCTCATTATGTGAAGTGCCCCAGATTTATTTAGGCTGACTAAATGTTTCTGGAATACTCATTCTCTATCCTCACAGTCACAAAAGTAATGCTACATGTTGCCATTGTGTTGTAAGTAGATGTGTTTGAAATGGAGCTTAAAGGCAGAGTTATATTATTAGTGACTTGACCTGCTAATTGTTGGCATCTCAAATTAAACTGATCGGAGCTTTTAAGACTTTGTATTGGCACAGCTCAAATTCTCATTGTCACACACAGGCTTATCAGAGCAGTCGGTCACTGTCCTGTGTAAACTTCTGAGAAGACAGTGTTGCCACATGGTCAGAGTAGTTCCTGTCTTATTTTTTTTTTACAGTCTATGGTTCCTACACAAATTAAAAAATCAGCCCAATGTTAACATATGGTCTTTAGTTACCTGTAGTTTTTTAATATGGTAAGATAGAGTTTTTCTTATATTTCACAGAGAGTAAGTAAGAGGCGATCTGATAACCAGTTGCAATTGCAGCGTCAAGGATGAGTCAACTGTTGATTTCTAACAGACCTTTTTCACAACAGGAGGAGAACAGGTGCAACAACTAAAACGTACAGAATGAGGTCTCTGATGTGTCTGTTTTTATCAACTGTGCCAAGGAGCTAAAGAGTGAACTAGCATGTATAATACCAAGGCACTACAACCATTTAAAAAAAAACAAAAAAAAAACATTATCATGGAATAGTAGTTTTAAATGACCCGCTGTGTGTTTCCCAAAATGACAGTTGAGAAAAATGTCAGTGTCAGGTGACTTGTTTTCCACACAGCCCGAGGAAGCTCAGCAAGAAAGTAAACACTGATGATTTTGAACAAACATTTCTTTGAATGTTGCATTTTTAGAAAATAATGAGTCTGTGCTTGCAGATTTGGTCATGTTTGTGGTATAAGTATCTGAAGATAAATTATAATATATTTTAATAAAGAAAAATTTGAATATATATTTCTGTATAATTTCATAATTTATAGATAATCTACTGAGACACACTACAGCATCAGAATCGTATGCTAATTTTTATTTCAAAGATTTTGGAATGGCAGGAGTTACAATGTACAGTAGAGATGAAATAGTTTCCCCTCATGATATTCCTCCCTCTTTGATATTCAAGCTGTTGCACACTGCGAAGTGAGCGCAGCACAGAACCTCTCTATTAGTTATTCATGACAGCAGCGCTCAATCCACATTGGTTCAGATTGTTACAACGTCCTGTAACTCAATGCTATTTGAGCAACCCTCTTAATATTATTCCAACCAAATGACGATGTGATTACAGGGCCGTGGTGTTAAATGAGGCACCATTCAAATGAGGCACTAATTGCCGCATCTGTTAGCATATGGCACAGCCAGACTGAAGTGTCGACTGGAGAGCCTCACATCTGCTAATTGGTACAAACAGGTAGCAGATGCACGTTGCCGCCATGGAGCCATTGCCAATTAGGCAATAAATGCTCAACTGCAGCCTGCCGCAGCAGCGGGGGGGAGGAGATTTGCCTGAGGCTCAGCAGCTGAGCTAAGGGAGGAAGGTGTAAGGGAAAAGAAAGCTGGTGTGGATAAAGAAATGCCCCAACTCCCCCTCCTTGACCATTAGGTACAAGAATTTTCCAATAAGGCCTGTTCGCCAGGTTCAGGTCGTGTTTGAATGGCCTGATGCCATCTGCAAGACAGCAGTAGGTTTACACAAGGCACAGTCACAATGGTGGGGAACTGATAAGCCTGACTCACGCAGACAGACAAACAGGTACTTCCTGTGCTAACTAAAATACTTGATAAAGTATTTCATTATTACCACTTTTTGTTTCATAATGACCTGACCTGAGCATGACAGAAGTTTTTTTTTTTTTATGAAGAAAAATTATGACACTTTGAAATTGAACAGTAAAAGGATAAAAACGTTTTGCTGTAGTTTGTCATGGTTTGTATGATAAGCTTGGGAACCACCGCTTCTTAAAATGATTGTTGGAATTCTTTGTTTGTCTTTTAAAACACTCTTATTTGTCTAACTAAACTTCTTCCTGCTGTTCTGGTTTGTCTGAAACGCCGCAAGCCACCGCAAGAAAAGTGTTGATGGATGATTTGTTGCTGTAATGTTTGTGCCTGTGCTTCCGAGCACACTCAGTGAACACTTGGCGTTTTGATAGTGTGTGTGTTATGACGTCATTGAAGACCACTGTATAGATCTCTTTGTTGTGAGTCATCAGGTGGCTGTGGGGCATTAGGTTTATGGCCCGTCACGGTGGGGAATGCTCACTACAGAGTGTTAATGTGGCCCCGTGCTCAGTAGTAGGAGGTGACAGAAGTCTTCTGGCTAATTAGTCCCCCCTCATTGACTTGATGCCTGGAAGACAACATTATCTAAGTGATGGTAGCTGGTGCCAACCATGCACATGACACATACCATGATGGGTCCCACAGTCATGTTAGCACTACAGGCTATGTTTGACTCATAGATCACACATGAGAAAGCTTTTATGATAGATGTGCATAGTCATTTTAGCTCCATATCAAAGCTTTTCACACCGGGAGGTGACACTGAAATGTTTGCAAATGACTCAGATTAGGTTTTTTTTTTTTTTTTCCTACCTAAGCCAAATTCATATTAAATGTCCTGCTAATGCCAAATCCCATGAGATGTTTACATAATCATATTATAAAAACAGCTTTAAGGTGAACACTTAACTTCAGTTTTGAGTTGAATATCCGTGACATTAAAGGCTCTGCATTAAGGAATAAATAGCTTGCGACGTAGCTGACAATAAAAGGTGTTAGTTCCCCTCTTTCCCATGTAATTATTTAATCAGGCTAACTCTTCAGGTGCATGTAGACTCTACAAGGTAAACATGACTACTTCTACGTTAGTGGATTATGTTAAGTTATGACGCATATGGGACAGGAAGTGTTGATTAAAGTATGTTTTAGCTCCACCATAAAGATAAACATGGAGACACCCCTAGAGGAATTACAATTCCCAACTATTTTGTCTGCTTATGTATTGATCATTTCTATGTTTTATTTCCTTTAAGCAAAATTGTTGCTCTCAGTTTAAGCACAAACAGAATTCAGACTTGTGTAAATTGCATTTTTTTAAAAGTCCTCTCATCAGTGTATCATACTGTCGAAAAGCTGTCATTTTGTAGGCTGAGCCTTAGTGGATCTATGATGTAGGTTGGGCTTGTCTTGTAGGGGATAACTGTAATGGTTTTTAAAAACCACTCTGCTTTGTGTCTTTCAGTTGAACATCCTGGTTGATACAGGCAGCAGTAACTTTGCTGTGGCAGCCTCTGCACACCCATTCATTACTCACTACTTCAACACTGCACTGTGAGTGGCTGAACACTTTGTTTAATAGTCCAATACATCATCTGCTTTTATCACCCACTGTGATGGTATTTTTTATGTAAATGCTATGTATTTCATTTTCATTTGAATTTTACAAAAATAGTAAAGTTTCCACTCATAGATTTATCTGTTGAGGTAACCACTTTGTTACAGTCCTACTCCTTATTTGAAACATTTATCTCTGTATCAAAAGCCTTTATCTCTTCACATCTGGGCTTCTTCCATTGTGTTTAGTTCCACTACATACGAGTCAACTGGACGGACTGTGGCTGTCCGGTATACCCAGGGTAACTGGGAAGGTGAACTTGGCATTGACAAAGTCTCCATCCCCAAAGGCCCTAATGGAACCATCATCATCAACATAGCTGCCATCCTCACATCTGATGGCTTTTTCCTTCCTGGGGTCAACTGGCAGGGCATCCTTGGACTGGCCTATCCCATGCTGGCACGGGTGAGAGATGCTCAGAAATACAGAAAGAGTTTTGTCATCGCTATTTAGAAATAAGTTTAAATTCCTGTTTTAGTGGTTTCAAACTCACAGTCACTCTAAAAGAAAAGATTGTAAATAGGAACAAAAAGTACAAGTGGCACCTACGCGTGTTGATTGCCTTCAAAATCATTACAAATGAAATGTTGAAATCAGTAATCGTTGTTTTACTTAACAGGGTATTTCATTGTTTTTAAGTAAATTTACTTTATCGATTTTAAAAAAAGGTTAACAAACATGTCAACTGCAACAATGGATAAATGCTCACAAAGGGGGAAAATAAATCAGGTTTTATCAAGACAATCAGTTGGTTCTGCATTTCATTTAAAGTGCCCCACATCTTTCAATTGACTGAATAACTTTTCAAACTGCGATCTTATCTTGGTGTAGTCATGGACATCTCACATGACCTCTAGAAAGTTTCATGTTCATGTGTTATTTTTAGCAACCAGTGGAGTAATGTTTGTTTTTACTTTAGTTGCCCTAAGATGCTCTTCATGAGGTTACCATACCTTTAATACAGGGATATTTTTTATTTTGACTGGGTACAAAAATCATAGTTGTCCTTGGTAGCAGCCATCACATGCCGCCTCTCCACAGACAGTGATGAAACATTACAAAATCAAACTTCTTTAAGTGTTTGTATTGCTATTTCAATTCAGTAATAATAATAATTATAAACATACTATGTTTGTGTTTTAGATACACAGACCCAATGTGCTCAGTATCAGCTTTCCTTAATGTGATCATATTTTTGAAAAAAAAAAAAAAAAAAAAAAGAAGAAGACTGATGTCAGCTTAATCCTGCATAATAGATTATTTTATTCAAAGCTGACTAAAGCAACCTATTGGATCAATTACTGGTAATTAAGGAGCAGAGTTGCCCACACAGGTCACTTTGTGCTGCTGGTGTCCCCTGAGTTTTCAGATTCATCTTGCCTGAGGGCTGTTTGTCATGGTAACACAACACTGACATTAAAAACCCGTATCAGGACAAAAAGCGAAACAACATCCTTTTTTTGGAGAAAAGGTGAAGTGTTAAACATTCGTACACATGCACACTGGTCAGAATATCGCATCATTTCATGAAGATTTTTATCACTATAAACTCGGCTGCAACTTTAATATCTCAAAGGTGAGGCAAAAAAAAAAAAAAAATCTCTATACCAGTAACAGAAATATTTTTTTATATTGAAATATTTTTGCTTTATGAATTCTGCTACTTTAACAGACTGAAAATACATTAGGCTACACTAAGTCAGTCTTTGTATTCACACAAACTAAATGCTTGAAATGCAAATTTAAAAGTTCAAATTAATTGACTAGGGTTAATAATTACACATTTCCTGTCTCTCAAATAGCCTGACTCGTCCGTGGAACCTTTTTTCAACTCTGTGGTGAAACAGCTGGGAATTCCTGACATCTTTTCGCTCCAGATGTGTGGCGGTGGACTGTCAGCCAGCAGCACAGCAGACTTGGCAGGAGGCAGTCTTGTGAGTGGTTGGGAGAGGGTGCCTTGGGGAGGCTTTCTGATAAAATTTACATATACAGTAAAGTCGGTTGTAACTTTTCACCTTAACATACTTGTCGTTAAATGGTATCTGCTTCATGTTGTGTATGTTTATGATACAGTTTATTTAAAATGTCAGAAAGATAATTGTAGCATCAGTATTATTTGCTTCACTCATAGAGGAATGAGATGTGGCTGAGCAATGCTCTTCTCAGAAAAAATCTATTCTGTCTCTTTGGATCAGACATGCAGTAGCAGCTGAGCGCATTTAGAAACATAATGGCTGGCATCATCCATACCAATGTGGGTTCTCTATTGGAAGCCAAGTCTAGTTAGAATGACTTTAATTAAGCAAAGATAGTATCCTGCTGAGAGCAGGTCTGTCACTGTTACACAAACAGCCTAGGTGCCTCGCTTGCTAAGTCTTCACCATGTGTCGCCTGATACAGGCAGATGGATAAAATGGCAGGGTGCTTTTGTGTTTGTGTACGGCATGCATGTGTTTGTGTTTTGGCATAATAATAAAAGACGTTGACAGTTTGATATTTTAATAGTAATTGTGATCATATCCTTCCTCAGATCATGGGAGGGGCTGAACCAGCTTTGTACTTTGGGCCAGTGTGGTACACTCCTATAGTTGAGGAGTGGTATTACCAGGTTGAGGTTTTGAAGCTGGAAGTTGGCGACCAGAATCTGGACTTGGACTGCAGGGAGGTAAACTTCAAACCATGCTCACCCTTCTCCACACAGTCATAAATTATATCTTTGAGCTAGAAGCAGGAAATCAGTTCTGGTTGTTCAGTAATTATTCTAGAATACTTTATTTTATCAATGTCACAACAAGGAAATAAAACACTAACGCAATATTAACAATGCAAGGGCATTAAGACATTTTTTTGTGGTTGTGTAAGAACTTCCTCATTTTTTATTTTTATATGTATGCTCAAGGTCTTGTGAAGGGGCCGGTTGAACTGAGACAAACCCTACCTCACTCTTTCTCCCTTTCTTTTAGTATAACATGGATAAAGCTATAGTTGACAGTGGGACGACACTGCTGCGTCTTCCTGTCAATGTCTTCAATGCTGTGGTGGCAGCCATCACCCGCAGCTCTCTGGTAGGCTGTCGTCTATCCACAGGAAGTGATGAAACATGTCAAAGCAGAAGAGTTGCAGGGGAGGATAAAAAACACACTCAATGTTCAATGACATCGTAGATTTTAGAGGAATGATAAAGAGTTCCCCTGATATAAAGAAGTGTGTGTATGTGTTTAAAGCCATTCTGTTTTCATGTTTTGTAAGTGCACACACGTAATGCTCAAGGTTAATTTGAACCTGTACCAGTTTTCATTATTGATTAGTCAGAAAATGACAGAGAACAGCAGAACCTGTATTGGTGCTGTGCTCACCGCCTTGTCTTAATACATGTCTCTTTGCCGTTTGTTCTCTTTGGTCCAGATCCAGGAGTTTTCTTTAGGGTTCTGGGAGGGCTCAAAGCTTGCCTGCTGGATAAAAGGAGAGACCCCCTGGAGATTTTTTCCAAAGCTATCCATCTACCTAAGGGCAACAAACACAAGCCAGTCCTTTCGCATCACTATCCTGCCACAGGTGCCTGAACACAAAATGAATCCTTCCCCTCGAGTTTCTACATCCACACGAAAAACATTCACCAGCCCTCTTTTGTCTGTTTATTTGTTTATTTGTTTATTATCTTACAGCTATACATTCAATCAATCACAGACGTGGACGGCACTTTAGATTGCTACCGTTTTGGCGTGTCTTCCTCCTCTAATGGCCTGGTCATAGGTGCGACTGTTATGGAAGGCTTCTACGTGGTTTTTGACCGCACCAAGCGGAGACTGGGCTTTGCGCTGAGCAGCTGTGCAGGTGAGGGTTCAAACAACGCAGACAGAAACAAATGAAACTTAATTTAATATCATGTTTTTAATTGGATGGTTACAATTAGTTTGCCAATTACAGAGGATATACTGGATTTCTGCTGTATTTATGTGTAAATAGTCGCACATTCTGCCTTTAAGCTGCAAACAGAAGGACAGAGAAATGATGCAAAAAGTTCTACAGGTTGTCGACATTTTCATCAGCTGCAAGGCTGACAACACCTTATTTTCAAATGTGTTGGTAGTCTCAATATAATCTATTTTTAAAGTTTGTATGTGTTTGACTTAAAAGTTCTGAACTTTAGAAATAACAGCAGGAAAGACCTTTAACACAGGTTTGCACATGACTCCATTCTTTATCAGTTTGGCTTCAGATCGATGTAGGCATTAGAGTCAGTAAAGTAAAAGTGTACAAAAAGAATGAAATTACAATATAAACATTCAAAGATTTAACCTACAGAGGAAATATGTTACTTTATGATTGTTACGTGGAGTATTCACTTGACTCTCTTGCATGTTGTATCCACCTAAAGATCATTTTGGTTATGATAGGGCTCCAAGGCTTCAGGAAATGTAACTCTTTTAAGTGTTCTGATTCATTTGAAACTTACGGATAAAGAAACTTTGCAAAGTGCAATGTAGTATAAAGGAAAACTTGCAGGTTCACTGATTAAGTCCATGAGAACATTCTGCTCATTATGCCTTAAACAGGTTAAACAGCAACAGTGTTACTTCCTTTTGGTTCTGTGTAAATATGAGCTCTAACAAGGCTTCCCACTCTCATGTAAAAGTACAAAGATCACTTTTGTTCTGTATTAGGCCAACTTCCTTGAAGCAAATGTAGGCTGAAGGTTAGGGAAAAAGGCTTGTGACAGTAGAAGTGCCTATTTCCTTGGATGGCTGGTAAACTCTAGACAGAGAACACTCCCAACAAGTAGAAAGATCCTCTTTATTAAGTCTAGTCCAGTCTAAGACAACTGGAGCTGCTACAACGCAATGAATATAAATAAACTGAACTGTAACACAGTGTACTTACATGTCAGTCATAAACTTTTTATTATAGGCAGAGTATTAATAAAAAAAAATATCTTGTGAAATAATCTCATAAATTTAAAAAAGAGCCTTTTAATCTGTCAGTCTGAATGTTTTCATCCATTAAACTTCTAGATGTACTGTTTTATTCAGGACTGTTAAAAACACTTCAGAAAACAACACTTAAGAGGTATATATCCATATGGGTGACATACATTATTTCTGGGCTGGTGCATTATCAAACACATGAACACTAGGTGTGGGGTTTCTTTCACTTTATGTTTGAATTTCCACTTCTGATTTGGCTCACCAGGTCAAAACGTAGCTCTGTAACTCTCTGTCTTGTGTTTCTCTGCAGTGAATGGGGGGGTGGCTCTGTCTGAGATCGCAGGGCCCTTCTCAGCTGCAGACGTGGCAGCCAATTGCTCTAGCGGACCACTGAAGGAGCCTCTTCTCTGGGTGATCTCCTATGCCCTAATGGCAGTCTGCGCCTTTGTCCTCATCATCCTGCTGCTTCTTTTAGTCCTGCCCTGCCGACGCAGACACCACTCAGGGGAGATAACGGACGAGTCCTCACTGGTCCGCCATCGTATCAAGTGACTGAGAGGAAAGGGACAGGCAGATAGGGTGAACAGAGTGCAGAACCCATCCACAGCAGTGGAGAAAGGTGCTGGGCTTGGGCTGCAGCAAACAGTCACACTCGGTTCTGAATGCCTGACAGAGCTTAGACTGAACTCATCAGGTTTCCCCATGGAGGTAGAAACAGACAGATCAATGGCCTCTTGAAGGGAAATCCACCCTAAAACCACCTCCTAAAGTCAGATGTTGCAGTAATGTATTTACTATGTCAATGTATCTTGTTGCATATCTTTCTTGTTCTGTAATTCTGTTCACTGATAACTGGTTATATTTTACTCACTGGTGCATTTTCGAACAACATTTCTAAAAGGCATATAGCCTCTAAAATGTGCCTTTACAGTTGATAATCTTCCACCAACTGGTCTTTTTTTTTAAAGATCTAATTTATTCCTGTGATTAGTAAAGACATGTATTTAGTGCCATACTGTATTGCAGAGTCAACCCTCACATCTCATATGCAGTTTAATGATTGCCTGTGTGTGCTAAAGTCAAGAGGAAATCTGCCCAATCAATCAGTCAAAATTGGAAGACCATCACTGGAAGTGAGAAACGGGTTTACAGCCCTGATTGTGCCTCTAAGTCTCAGCTGACTACCAAGACAAAATGATACACTGAACCAGTAGTATGAGGTTTACTCTGTTGAATTGCACTTTGTTTTTAAAGTCAATCAAAAGTGTAATATGAATCTAAAGATCAAAAATTCTGAATCTGTTATGAAATGTGTTGTGCTTATGTAATTTTGCTAATCCTATATACAACTAACTTTATATTTAATTCTCATGGAAAGTGATTGTATTATTATTGCAAATCTTTGTTTTTTAGCCACTAGACTTTGAATGATACATATTCATACTGTTCACTGTATAAGGATTATTGAAACACATGGCTCGTTAGCAAAGCTGACTGATACATTAGCACTGGGAAGTTAGTCTCTTTACACACTGTCAGCTAAAGTCAATAACACAGCACATAAAACCTGTTCCACTGCTGACACTGTGCTGCTCAGTGGAAGACTGTCAGTCCAATGAGTCACTGTCTGCCAAAAATTTAAAGTTGTAAAAATTGAAGGTACACTTGAATCGTTCTATGTTTACTTATTTCAAAGTGTAGTTTTTGTGCCAAAAATGTCCTTGTATTATAAACAAAGAAGTTGTGACCAAATCGTAGATGTAAATCATATTAAATTAATAAATATTTTTTTTGTGAAGGGTTACTCAGGACCAAAGCATTCTTTGGAGTCAGTGGGAATAAGCTTGATGTGGTTGGTGAGAGACATCTTGTGTTGGCACATGGTATATCATGTTTAGTTGTATTATAATAATATGGACACCGAATAACATTTTTACAGGTTGAAGTAAAGACTTTTTAATATATTTCACACAACGCAAACAGAAACAGTTACAAAGACACCATGTGAAAAGACTGTTCCTAAGCACTTTCTGAATGAGACCAAAGTCTGAATTAGCAGTGATTGAGATGAAGACAGTGGCCTACACAGTTACATCATGATGGACATGAGTTGTGTTGCTATTGAAGATATTGTTCAGGCATTGATATAAAAATTACTCTCTGCAAATTGTAGAAAATTGTAAACAAAGATCTCGTATAACACATTTGGACTTTTCGTCTTCATTCATCTTGATGCTTCTGTAAACAGAGAAACAAACAAATATACGTTTATTGTTTCATTTTTGCACATTGTTGTTTTGTGAATATCAGAAGATCACTTTATCATACTTAATGGTTAATACTGTGACTGAAGTCATCGTGTAAGAAGCTTCCTCACTTTGCTACAAATATGTAAAGATTTCAGAGAAGTGCTTTTTTACATTTGATGACTGATTAAGAATTGATTTCAATTAAAATTATTAAATTATTTAAATAATTTTCTGTTAAATAACAAAAGTTTTGTTTTTCTTGTTATAAGTCAAAAGAAATAAACCAAAATTATGATTTTTTTTTTTTAACTAAATAATGAAGTGTGTCAGTAAAAGACACTCATATTTAAGGTCGACAAGATGTCAATATGTTAAATACAACCGCCACAATGTCACATGTAAATCCTCATAATGATCAGTATTTTGTTAGTCTGTATCTTTTATTACCCTCATCTGTTGGAAGATCCAGTCCAGGAAAAAGGGGATTTTGCCATAAACGCCCGGTCTCTGGTGCTCTGTGCAGTCTTGCCCCCTGATGCAGTCCCCTATGAGCCACCATACTCCATCCTTCAGGGCCACCAGAGGGCTGCCGCTGTCAGTCTGGGAAAAAGATTTAGCACTAAACTGAGAAAAGTTTTTTTATGAACTATAAACTCTATAACATTTATCAGATTCCCACATTCAAACACAAGTATGTGTATTTAACACTAAATATTAGTCATTCAGATTGAGGAGCATGTAAGGTCCTTCAAGGACTCTCTGAGTTCAATGAAAAGAGCTGTTTAGTTAAGCTCCAAAGTGGAACTGTTTGTTTAATTTTGTTACCATGCACTTAGCACAGTGCTCGCCTTCTTTGAATCCTCAAAGCAAGTTATCTAAGAGCATGTAAATGTTTTAAATTCTTTCAGAAAAAGGGGCTTAAATGAAATAGTTCAAACTATTGCAGTTATATCTAAATAAAAGGGTTTTTGCTGTTTATTTGAACACTGATTCCATTAATGTTTTTATAGGATCTCTGGAATCTGAATCTCTTGAGTCTGTATTGAAAGAATAGTTTGAAGCAAATGCTTAAACAATGAGCCCTGAAGGCGTTAAAACAGTCTGGTAGTCACTATTAAACATATAAACCACACACTGTGACATGTTTTAATATATGTTTATATGTATGTTTTAGTCAATACTATAACTGTATTAGCTGGTTTTAGCATTTCAATGTGATATTCACACCTCTTAGAGTAAGAGTTAGTGTGTTTGTCTTACACCACACATATTGCCTGACGCCTCCACCTCTCTGGCACATAACATGTCCTGTGTTATTCTTCCATTGTAAGCCGTGGAGCTGTTGCAGTCAGCTGCATCTACCAGAGAGACCTGAGCCTCCATCAGGTACGGAGAGCCAGAGTCTGTCAAGCAACAAGACATAACAATAATTTACTGAAATTAACACATTGTCCTGTATCCAGTCTGTCATATATTCTTTTAACAAGTTTAGTTTTTTCATATGGTCGTATGCTGAAATCTATGGCAGCCCATTTCAGCCAGTTAAAAAAATCTAATCAAAAACTTGGCTTTCTTTAGAAAAAAAAATGTGGCAATATTAAGTAATAATTTATGAGATAAAAAGTCAGAATTATCAGATGAGCAATTTATTTTTGTCACCAAAGCAAAGTTGTAGATATCTTTTTAAGTGGGCATCCATAAGATCAGCAAATCTTAAGCAAAAAAAGCAAACAGAGGTTAAGTCCAAGAGTGCCATCTAGAGGTAGTAAGCTCTATGAAGCCCATTCCCATCAGTTAAACCAAAAACCAAAAACTTGGCTTTCTTTAGAAGAAAGTCTTGTCAAGTCTGACTTGACATTTTATCTCATAATTTCAACTTATTATCTCATAATTATGACTTTTAAAAAAAAATTTCATCATTATGACACAGCATGGGCTATTTCCTTTTGCCAACAAAGCCACGTTTTGGTTTTTACTTTTTAACTAGCGGAAATGGGCTTCCATGGAAATCAGCAAATCAGGAGCAAAAGAAAAACAGAGTTGAAGTTCATGAGTGTTATCTAGAGATAGTTTGCTAAAAGTGCTTATCACTTTCGAAAAATCACAGAACTTTTTGATGTTTAAACACTTTAAAACATTGAATCCTTATATTATATGAAGACTAGATTGTAGCCTTCATATTTATCTTGTTGTTCATCGTCACATGAAGCCTCTCTTACCTCCATTGACTGTGCCAGAAAATCGTGATATCCAGCCTTTCTGATCATCAGTAATGTTAACACCAACATTTGGGAGGCACACAGGTCCAATATGACTGGAGACTAGCAAAGAAAATAATATATATCTGTTAAAATAATACAAATGTGGATGCCCTGTGCACAGCACTGTCAGTCCTTGTAGCTTAGGATAGGATAGGATATATCTTGGTGCAGTTGATGGCAGGAAACATCATCTAGACAGCAACTGAGAAAATTAACCTCAAACAAGAAGGCTGAATTACTCATTTTTATTCAATTACATTCTCAAACCAACGCTGTTCAACCGCATGATGAAGCCATGCAGGCGTAAGGCGTTGTTTGTCGGATAATGTAACTAAATAAAAAGAAGAAGTAATTCAGCCTTCTTATGTGCGTTGAATCTTTTCAATTGCTCTCAATACATATCTGTTGTTGTTCTACGTCCAAGAAGGGAAACATGTGGTTCTTCATGACTAAAAAGGTATCATAAGTGTGCTGTTCTGTGCTCCCTGAACACATCATTACTGGCTGGTAAACACAGTTTAACAAATGGAATATCATATGGTACAACAAGATAAACCTAATGACATGGAAAACATCAACCATTCAATGAATCTTCCCTTCATGACAATACAAATGTTCACTTGTTGTTGGCATTTTTTCAGAGGTTCTGATTGATAGTTTCAAAGCCATTTTAGAGGATGAAGTTAAACTTACAGGTACTTCTGACATATTATCCACCTTTCTTTATTCAATAAGAGAAGTCAAGTAAGAACATGAGTACCTGTGTGGTCCAGAGGTTTAGACAGCCTCATCAGAGCGATGTCACTCTTGAGAGTAAAGCTGTTGTAGCCTTCATGGGCTATGACGTGGCTAACAGAGTAGGAAGGGTTAAACAGAGTGCCCAGCGGTTCCACCACCCCAGCATACACTGCCCAGTCTCCAGGGCTTGAGACACTGCAAGTGGACAGAAACAGCAGAGAGTAAATTGATCTTAACTGGATCAAAACACAACCACTACTTTAGGAATTGAGGGGAAAACCAAAGCCTCACCTCGCCACACAGTCTGCTGCAGTGACTATCCAGTAGGGGGAGATGACCGCTCCTCCACAGCGGTGGGAGCCTGCAACCTGCAGGCTGACCTGCCACGGCCAGGACCCTAGAGAGGCAGGCTGGCCCCCAGAGGCTCTGCTGGAGTTCACCCCAGTCCCACAATCTGAGACGAAAACTGCTGTTAGAGAGGATATGTTCCACCGGCACGTGGCTTCTATAAGCAGGTATACAAGCCAAGAAAAACGACCCTTTATAACCAGGGAGAAAAAGCAAAGCAGTGTTGTGACAGACTGTACAAGGAGGAGTTTAAGAGAGAATTTGAAACTCAGGAGTTGTCTCCTGATGTTGGCTGGTGTACAGTTGTGTGTCCTTTTAAACAAATCAGTAAACAACACTCTCTCCCCCTGATTTCCATAAAAGTTGAAATTATTTCAGCAGATCACAAGCATTATTAAGAGTTCAGCAAACAATTAGACAAAACAAAGGGTGAAATGTTTCAACATTTATTTATATTAAAAATATAAAAAATACCCTGTGAATACCAAAATCATTAAAAAAAGAAACAATGGAAAACTGAAAACAGTCACATAGCCCACGAGTGTTAACATATATATGTATACACCTAAATGTTATGTGTTCCTAGATTGTATAATTACATACCAGTACAAAACAATGTCACCCCACTGTTGTTTGGACAGGTATTGCTGCAAAAAAACAAACATTTGAGGTGAAAGTTTTTACATCAGTTTTTACAACTCTATACTTGTTCATTGTCACCATCTCACTAACCTGAGGACAAGCTGTTGCAGTAAGGATGCAGCAGGGTTGAAGTTAGACTTTACTATAAGGAATCCATCTTTGGAGTCAGTCTGTTGTTGGCCTGATTTAAAATATGTCTTCCTGCCAAACCACACAATGGAAAATCCAACTTAATTTAAACACCAACATTCTTTACATGTTACATTTTTTTTTAGAAAAACCTGTCTGAGAATCTTGCCTGCTGTATCCGATCTGCCTGCAGCTCGCTTTACCCTGCAGGTCACTCCAGCCCCGAGAACAAACAGTCCTCCAGTTTTTACTCTGGGACGAATAGATCTGAAGTAGGAAACTTGAACCATGCACCCTCACTGACCACAGAAACAAACAAACAAACAAACAATCAATAAAATAATGACATTTTATTACAAGTTAAATGTATTTAAAAGAGAGCAACAAACAGTAACAGATAAACAGATGTAGATAAATGACAATGTAATGTTTACATACGCACGCACGCACGCACGCACGCATGCATGCACAGGGATTAGACTGTTTACCACAGTTAGCTTCATCTTGGCCTGCAGGGCAGTCCATCACTCCGTCACACCACTGAGACTCCCACACACAGCTCCCATCACCACATTGCATCCCGTGCACACAGGGAGAGGAGACTGGGAGACAAGAGGAGACAGAGGAAGTGACTGGTGAGGGATTAATGATACTGTGTGTGTATTAAAGGTAAAGGCGACATGATCATTGTTGTTGCAAGTGATATGTTGCATTTGGAGGGGAAATCCTGCACTCACAGTAGTAACCAAGGAGGACCCCAGCCAGCAGGAGGAGGAGCAGGAGGCTGATCACAGCAGCCACAGTGAACTTTACACACCTATGTTTTACATCTGGCAGGAGGAAACACACAACTGTGACTCAAAACACATTTTCACTCCACTTGTGCTTTTGTAAAACATGTTTAGAAATGAGTCTTCAGCATGTTCGAACACTAACTGGCATTTCAAAGCACATGTAGATAGATCTCATCAGTATGGTCATCTGAATGAACTAAAGTTGGGGTCTAACTTCACTTCACTTCTTTTACTTCTACATTTACAGAAATGAATGAAAACTAAATGCACACAGCTATATTTGCTTGCATACTATTTCTTTAAGAAAAAGGTTTCTGTTTCTATGTTTAAATTAAAAAGAGACAGAAAAGTCAGCTCACAAATGTCCACTGAAGTTTACTCTATCCGGGTAAGAACAGCAAAAACAACAACGGGCGCGTTTCAGCACTAAGCCTTCATCAGTCACTTTTTAGTCTTTTTGCAGTCGTGCACCTGAAATGGTGTTTACTGTCGAGTGTGCTCCTGTTTTGCTGTTTATGTTTAAATGACCAAAGCAGTATTGTGTTAGTAAACTGAAAAGGTGAATACCTTTGTGTTTGGGAATGGAGTGGCTAATCTCAGGAGGATTCAGGGCCAGATGATGCACATACTGAGGATTTACATCTGAACTGCTAGATGGAGGACATTTCTGAGGAGCAGAGTCCAGATACTATTGAAAAAGCATTAATAATGAGAACAATCGTTCATCAGAGATTGAATAATCCAAAAAATGTAAAATTGAGAATAAAAAAAATTGTATTCACATGTATTTCTTAACTAAACAAAATGTTTCATCCTACTATTAATATAGTATGAACTGATGAGAGTAAAATGTAAATGATCACTTACCAGATTGGTTGTCATTTTCTATTTAACCAGCAGTATTTTGAAATCCACAGAATGATGCAGTGGAGAAAATGTCTTCCTGAGATAATCAACACTAATCTCAATAATCAGACATCAATCTCATGAGAAGATCATTTATGAACGTCCACTCACAGATCCAAAAGTAATTAAGTTATAGGAGAGACTCTGCTCTTTAGGTCACTGGAAAGATAAAACTCATACATGTAGAGTCTCCGTTCACATTTCACCACTCTGTTCTCTGTATCCTCACACTGATGAAATGAAGGCGTTTGTTTGGGCTTAAGAGTTGCCCCTCCTCATGCCTCATTGGCATTGGTTTAAAGTTTTGCTCCTGAGCACACAACAAGTACAAAAAGGAGAGTTATCTTGTATAAACACCCAACAAGTGTTATATGCTGGCTGTCAGGAAAAGTGACTGAGTACTGTCCCTCTGACTACATCATGGAAAGGTACTACGCTTAATGAAATGAATACAAGACAACACAAAAAGCTTCAACACAAAAGCTTAAGAATCAGCTGAACCTCAGCTGGACGTGCACTTCAGCTGCAGTTTATTTTAAGGCAGATAATATGATACATTTCAAAGGAATATGTCATTGGTAAAGACTTTTGTGTATTTCTGGACAATAATTATTTCATTCTATAAAACAGCTACGCATGTTAAAACGTTTACATTCAATCAGTTGTCAATAGGAAACTGTCTTGCCTTTACAGTGAGCATGTCTTCCCATACATGTGACTACTTCACTTCGGCGACACAGTTTTTGGTCCTTTCAAAAATATACAGAACTTCGAACAGTCACAGATTGCTCAAACAACCAAATTGGTGACCTCGGTTGTTGCAAAAATAAATGCATGCATTTGACAAGGTGACTTCATTTTCTGTTAAAGTGCAAAGCAGCAGGGTGACACCTGTAGACATTTCAACTTTTAAAACAGTTTAACTATATAACAGGATTTTTCTGGCGCAGGCAAAGCCTTTTGCATTTTTTCCAGGTTTACACCCAGGCCTGCCAGCCAGAAAAGAGTCTACTGAGGTTTTTGGGGTCCATGGCTTGTTGGATGAGAAGGTTGACCTGCCCCCCGACGCTGAGCACCGTGCCCTCCTCCACCCCCTTCAGCTTCTCCTGCAACCTCAGCAGCACCCGCTCTGCCACTTTGTTGAAGCTCTGACTGTCACTGTTGAAGGTAGAGAATGAGGTGAAGAGGCATAGCTTTGAGAGTGACACAAACAGTGACACACACACACACAGACTTACACACCTGGATTTACGTTGGTTGTCGATGTCCTCTCCACCCAGAGTAGAGCCGAGTGTTGCGTTGAGCTCCTGCTGTTCGTCATGCTGTAGGTAGAAGGCTTTTAATGGGTTCATGGTCCAGTCGAATAAAGGGTCATACAGCAGCACCTACACATGAACACAAAGGCAATGAGGTAGGGCAATTTCAGAGATTTAAGAGCAGCAAGGAGATGTATGTATCTGAGTGACTGTCACTTGATATTTTTTTACCTCTACAATAGTCACCAGGGCTTCCTGAGAGCTCCTCATCACCTCCATTGTCTTCTCACAACATCTGGGCAGAGACAACACAGTGAGTTCAGCCAATGAAACATCGAACATTGACAGCAAAGCATACTGCAAGAAAAATCAAAGGCTTGAAGTATGTGTTTTGTAATAGCTTTAACAGATGTTTATTGTTACACTTCTTTCATTTGAATTAATTCACAGAGTCTGCAAACCAACGTTTTTTTTTTTTAACTTCTCCTACAAACTGTTGTCATGAATATTATTTATGATGGCTGACTGGAAGGCAGAGTATCAATCTTAACACACGTGGCATGATTTGGAAAAACTTCAGGACCACGCCAGGTAATTAAATATGTGCTTTGAGGTAACTTTGTTTGTAGCTTGATTAAGGTTATGATGTTAAAAGTTGTCCTGACAACAACGATCTTTTCCACACCTCCTGAAAACTCCCTCCACTCCTGTGATACCCATCCCGTCCACAATGTCTCTGGACAATCTGAAGGGGACGGTCTCGGGGGTGGGGAGGATCTTCCCCTGCTCAAAGGCCACACCTGAACACCAACAGCATGCAAAGAAAAAAGAGGAATGTGTCGGTTACAACAGTTTATTCTTAAAGCCCTGATATAAAAAAGTAGAGATTTGAACTGCGCCGGCTACTTCAACAAGTATTACGCTTCCCAGTTTAGCTCCCAATTTTCTTTGTCTTATAATGGTTTATTAGAATCACTATTGTCTCATTAAAAGATGCACTTTTATCAAACTTTTTCTAGATTTAGGATAGGTCGACTTGTCTTACGTAAAAAAACAGGAATAAACTTTCCATGTTAACAATTTAATGAGAGAATCGTTTTACCTAAATCAATGTGCACCAGCTCAGCAGTCTGCTCATCAATCAGAATATTCTGGATGTGTCTGTCTCCCAGTCCCACGATGTAACCAACTACAGGGAAATCAGAAAAGTTACAGGTTGTGTTCATTTTATACTCCCAGAATGTGTTCTTGTATCACCATGTGTCACCACAATCATAAATGACCTGACTTCAATAACTTATTAAATTAGTTGTCACAAGGCTTAAGGCTCATCACTGCATATAATAAACATGACTTTAGACTGACACCACCAACAAAAAAAAATCATCATTTCTAATTGAATGTAGGCCTGCCTCCATTACTGTCTAGTTTCAACTGACTCTTCTTAACACAAAGACTTCTTTTCATATTAAATATCACTTTGATTTGACCCTTTTTATGTATACCAAGGACAGAGGATAAACATTGGAGAGGGGGGTTATGAAAAAAAATAAATGTTATGACAGGATCACGATCACGGCTCTTTTTCATACTGATCTTAAAGACTCATTTACAAGTTACTGATCAGCTCAATATTAAATGCACAAATAAGCTGAGAAGTTGAGTCTATTTAAAAAAATGTCTTTTGTCTTCAGCAACATTCTGTTGGTCAATACAGGAAATAGTTCAATATTATCCAATAGTTGGCAACAACAGGTGTGGGGGTCTTGAGGTCTCCCTCAGAACATTTTTAGCACCAAGCATGTCTTTCCATACATTCTAATATTTTTTAATGCATTTTATGAGCCTTTTCTGCACCACTTTAAAAGTATGATTGAGTATTGTGTCCTCTTATGTGTCTTTAAATCTATTTTAGTGTTCATCAGGTACATTTTCACAGAGTGATGCATTCATTTGCAAATCAGTTCTTATGTTTCTGTTCTATTTTAGCCCTGCAGAATTCCTACAGCTTTAGCTTCATCAAAAGTATCCTTTGTTCATATGTCATTGTTTATGACATTACTGGATTTACTTAGGCACAATGTGATTATTTGTGACACATGGTCAAAGTAAGTTTTACTGAAATCTTGAAGTTTTATTCATAGAGGGGTCGGGATAACGCTGATTAACAGACACACAGTCACCATGGTTACTCACTCTCACCTGCCTGCTACACACTTGAGAGTAAAAAGAGACTGACATCACTTCAAGCAGCATGCATGGAAATTGATAATGAAATATTGGAAATAAATGATTGTACTTTGGCTCAGACCAAACTGATATCATTGCTTTCCTCCGTTTCATTTCTCCATTCCGTTATCATTACAGGTGAGCTTTGAGTGAACAGGCTTGTTAGTAACTTGTAAAAAACCAAGAGAGAGCAGAAAAACACAGACAGCTAAAGTCTAAACAACAGGATTATATCTCTGATCGCTGACTGTTTGTCTGAGCTCCACTCTCTGTTCAACTCGAAGCAAAAAGTTCACGATCACATCTTTTGGACTCATTAAAAAGGTTTGTTGTGTCGCCATCCACAGTGCAAACCTTAAAGGGGATATATTATGAGAAATTACTTTTACAGTGTTTTTGAACATATATTTGGGTTACCCGAGTGTCTACAGACCCACAAAGATGGATTTATTTCACATTTTGTGAAATAAAATCATCCAGTCCTTTGTTTGTAGTCTGCATAAGTCTTACAACACAGAGAAAAACGGAGCGTTCAGAGAGAGCTGGTTTATACAGGGTCACAAACCTCCTCTGGTGCTTGATTCATGTTATATTTTGATCAAAGCACAGCACAGATGTTTCATTTAGACCACAGGGGACTGTTTGAAAATGTAGAAAAGGGGGATAATATGTCTTTTTTAACTGTGTAAACTATGCTAATAACAGTTTCTTGAAACAGTTCCAAATAACTGAGATGGATCTCTTTTTACAGACTTACTATGAAGTTTTGTTTTTAATTTTTTGCCATGAATCCCGCTCTGCTACAAGGCAAAAGGGGAGGAGCATAGAAACGCTCTACGAAATGCAACAGATAGAATGTAATACCATATCTCTGCTTTGGAAAAATGTTCAACACATTCAAATCCTTTCACGATCTAAGATCGCACACCTTGATAAACATTCAGCTGTCTGTACCTATAGAGGAAGTGGCCACACTGCGAGTGTAAGCCAGACGTTTCTCCATCCACACAGCAGGGTCCAGGAAGCGTTCCATACAGAAATACCTGAAGACCGGCCTGAAGTTCTTGCACACCTCGCTGTAGGCCTGGAGCTTTTCATCAGACGATAGTCTCTGAGCTTCCTGTAAAGACAGCACAGAAGGAGGTTAACAGGATTCTAGTTTCTGTCAGGTGGGAAGATGCCACATCTAGCTCTGCATTTGCACACATAATAAAAAGGAAGGGAATAAAACAGATAGACAAATCATTTAAGAAACAAAGGCAGTACCTGCATCTTCTTGCGGCAGGTGAGATTGGGCAAGTCCTGAGGTCTGAAGCGTTTATGGGCTCCTTTATTAGGATCCGCCAGAAACTCCCCAATAGGCACGGTGCCTGAACACCACTCCAACAAGCCGCTCCGCTGTGAGAACGGCACCACCTGGGACAAATTTGATTTGAGGCAGTAATGGATTTTCATGTCAACCGCTTTGGTCACACAAAGAAACCAAATAAATCTCTAAGAGCACAACCAAGTCCTGATATATTATTCTTAAATTAAAGTGAACAAGTGAAACAACAGACGCATAAATAAATTATTTGTTCTACCTTGTATCGTCTGATGTTGAGCTTTCTCTTGCGAGTGTCTGTGTTGCGCTGCAGCAGCATGGAGCACATGCTGAAAACCTGCTGCATGACTGCGTCCTGTCGAAGGTCGTCTTGACCCTGGGCGCAAAGATCCCCAACAAACAAAACACATACAGTAAATTATAACATCCAGGAGTATTGAGAAACTTAATTTATATGACGTAGGACTTTATTAATGCTAATGCCATGGAAAGTAT